AAAACTAAGACCAATATGTTTTCTGAATACTGATGCAAATGTTTTTAATTTTATTTTATTATTTATTTTTTGTTGTGTGTGTACCATCAAATCAGATCTAACTGGTACAGGAGGAGATTGTCGTCCCTCCTTTTCCAGAAAAGCATCTGGTGGATTCTAATTACGCACCTTTGGGATTGCAATGCAGCTTCTTGCCAGTAAGCTACCAGAGCTCACCTGATGCAAAACTTTTAAACAAAATCCTAGCCAACAGAATCCAACAATACATTAAAAAAATTCATCATACCAAGTGATAGTCATAACAGTAATGCAGTGATGGTTCAACATAAGAAAAACAATTAATGTAATTCATCACATTCACAAAGCATGCTCCTATCAATTGATACAGAAAAGGCCTTGAACAAAATCCAACATTCCTTCCTACTTAAAACACTCAGTAAAACAGAAATAGAAGGGAATTTACTCAACATAGCCGAAAGTATACATGCGAAATCAAAACCCAACATTATTCTCAACAGAAAAACTAAAAGGAGTCCCCTTGTGAAGAGGGACCAAGTAAAGAAGCCCACTATCACCAATACTATTTAACATTGTATTGAAAATTCTAGCTAGGTCAATAAGGCAAAAGAAGGAAATAACAGATATCCAAATTGGTAAAGAGATGGTGAAAAGGTCACTGTATGCAGATGATATGATAGTGTACATAAAAAACTCCAAAGAATAGAGTAGACCAAAACCAATTTAAAAGAGTGCAGGTTGCAAGACCAATGTACAGAATTCAGTTAGCTTTCAATATAGCAAAAAAGAAAGTACAGAAAAGAAACTAGAAAACAATAACATTTACAATAGCCAACCACAAGATTAAATATTTAGGAAGGAGTAAAGCTAACTAGAGACACAAAGACCTTTAGAAGGAAAACTATACAACACTACTAAAAGAAACAAAGAGACTTAATGGAAGAATATTCTCTGTTCATGGATAGGAATAGTGAATGTTAAAAAAATTACAATCCTACCAAAAGCAATCTATAGGTTCAGTATAATCTTAATACAGATACCAAATACATCTTCAAGGAGACAAGAAAAAGAAATTTCCAGTTTGATTTGGAAAGGAAAGGGACTCAGAATGAGCACAGCTCTTCTGAAAAACAAAAATTAAGTAGGAGTCATTTCACTCAATGATCTCAAAACCTATGATAGATTTAGCAATCAAAACAGCATTATTTTAATAAAAGGACAAAGATAAGTTGATGTTATGTGCTGTCAAGTTGCCTGTGACTCGTAATAACCCTATGTACAACAGCTCTGAACCTTGCTATATCCTGAGCCAACCTTATGGCTTTGACACACCTAGCCCCATTACCCCCAGTCACTAAGTCACTCCATCTCATCAAAGGTCCTCCTCTCTTGTGCTGTCCCTCCACCCTCTCAAGCATAATGTCCCTCTCAAAGGACTGGTCCCTCCTTGCAACATGCCCAAAGTATGTCAGATGGAGCTTCAGAATCCTTGCCTCCAAGGTCAATGGAATACAATCAAGATCCCAGAAATGGACCCATCTATCTACCTGTCATTACCCACTTACTTCCCTGTTAACACAGATGTTGCCCTGGATGTGCTCACCAAGTTGTGCCAAGAAATCTGGAGAACAACCACTTGGCCAACTGACTGGAAGAGATCTATATTT